GAAAAAGTGTAAATTACTCGTAACTATTAAGAAAAGGAAAAAGAACAAACGGAAGAGCAGCGACAAGGAAGAGTAGCAAATGCCATGCTCCGTAATTAACCACCTCAAGTTTATAAGTAATTACAAAAATACCTGGATGTACCAAATCACACGGTACATCCGGGTGTATGATATATTTTGCCTACTAGAACAACATCACAATCTCATGCTGAATAAAAAAATTGAGTAAAAAATGTTGCATCAAAAGCACACCTGGACAAATTTTCAAGCATTTTTGGATCTTGATGATATTCTTAATCTCATTAAAAAGTTCCAATGATGACCCAACCTGCCTGTTTCGTTTTGTCGTCATCGCGCTTATGTAGTTATGTTAATGGAGGACTGACTCGTCAGGTTCCCGATTTGCTTCATAGGAATCATAGCTGTTTTTTTTTTGCAATTGGGATTTCCTTAAAATAGATGTTCTATTCCCATCATATACGTGTGGGAGAGGCTACCTCTTGAGGGATCTCGTTATGATAATCAGGCGAAATTGCGCGCGTTTTTTGTCGAGTGCATTAACTTCTCGTCCATTACGCCTTCATAATCATCTCCGTCGCCACATTCTGGGAATTGGTGATTTAATGGCCGCCGCGTCGTATTCTCACGTCTCGCATCCTAAATTGAGTTTCCGCAGATTTCCCGGCGTGAGGCCTTCTGTTGATGTGTGTGGTAGGGTTGGTAGGTTTGGGAATGGATCTGCTGCTCTCGTGCTCAGAGGTTGCTGCCATGGAAATCCTTCGATTTCCCCTGGAAAGTGGCCTGCCGACATCAATTTTTGTACCACTACTAGTTGCAGCAGCAGCAGTATGTATGGGAATAACAATGCTTTCGCAAGGCCAGGGGCGGTTGGTCCATGTTTGCCTCATTTGCTTCATGATTCAGAGAAGATTACGGTGGGTGGTGGTGATGAGTCTTCTGGAAGCTCTCTTGGATTCTCCAACCATTATTTGCCCAAAAAGTTTGAAGTTGCTGTTGATGTAGATGAGGGTAATCTTCTCATCTTCTCTATTGCATTTCTGTGTTGTTAGGTTTGTTTCCTAATGGGAAAGTCCTTTCATTTGGATTCATCAGTGTCGTACTTGGTTCGGAGTATTATTTTACTGTTAAAAAATGTTCTTTGGTGCAGTGCTTGGAAGCTTTGTATCAGCTCTCAATAGGTTTATTGCTGACCGCTACTCATTGTATCACTCAGTTTCTGAATATCATGTTTATGAGTTTTTCAAGGTACTACAAGTAGTTCTTCAACATTGTATTTTTATCTATGCCATATTGCCATTCTGAAATCTTATTATAAATGCTCTAAAATGAGGATTGCCTTGATGCCTATCTTCTCTAGTAACGTTACTCGGAGCTGCGATTGTTATCCCATACATTTTCATCAGTTGGCTGTGTGATAGTTAAGATCAACGCCTCGTCAGCTCTATCTGACCCACATTTTATTTTTATTTTTATTTTTTTTATAACAGATATGGAATTGCTCCAGGGATGAAGGTACCAGTGCGACTAAAAACCCGTTTTAATTTAATCATTTGGAGATAGAATTGTTCATGGAGTTGAAGCCATGAATATAGATATGTTCTTATTTGTAATTTCTTTCCTTTTTTCATTCAGCAGTTGAATACAAATTTCAGCTGGAATGCATCCGTTTCTCAAAGTAAAAAGCAAAAACTTCGACTTACATTCATTCAAAGTCTCAGAAATCTGTGACAATTCTAAATCATGTCAATGTACAGGCTAGACCACTAGACTACTAGAGTTGCCTTGATTATATTTCTATTTACCCTTGTCCCAGTAGTATTTCTCATTTCTGAAAGAGTCAATACTCCATCCTTATTTTATTGAATCTGGGCTTCTTTGTTATGAAGCGGTTAGTCCATGCAATTTTCGATGTGATTTTCATCATGGGTCATCCGTAAACAGTCTCTTTGCTTTTGTTGTTGTTGGATTCCCAACCAAAAGTATTTTATTATTTGTTTCATTTCCAATTTTGGTAACTTTTACCTTTCTTTTTCATCTTATCTTTCCTGCTTTTTCATTTTCTATTTTATACTTCTCTACTTATTTGTCTTCTCTTTCATATTTTTTCTAATAATGTGTCTTACTTTTTACATTTCTTCTAGACTATTCACACCTATACTATTTTCTTCTTAAACTCCATGAGAAACCTAGAGGAATAAATAAAAAATGTAGATGGAGTGCATTTTTCGTTTTCTTTCACTTGGGGTAGTGCAGGCTTTAGCAGGGGTGTCTATTTTGAATGTAAATATTTCTGGTTTGTTAGATATCTGGGGTTCTTTACCCTTTTCTGAATGCTGACATTTATATGTCTTATAAGAATGTGGATTCTATTTGTCAACAAAAAGTTGTTTCTTGTGACAGCTGATATTCGTGTTCATGAATTCTTCAAGACTTCTTATTTCAAAAAGGGGATACATCCAGTTCCAGGTGCTAGGCAAGCTCTGCAAAACCTGCACAGATTCTGCAACTATTCAATAGTTACGTATGTACTCCATGTTATGCCTCTTTATAGAGTTCCTAGTGTTGCAAGCTAATAGCTGTTTGGACATTCCTTCTCAGATCCCGACAAAATGCAATTAAAGATCACACATTAGAGTGGATTGAGTCGCATTATCCCGGTCTTTTTCAGAATGTTTGCTTTGGAAATCATTTTGCTTTAAATGGAAAATCCATACCCAAATCAGAAATTTGCAGGTAAATAGCAATCAAAATTCATTTTGTTGTCAGCTTGGTTTCTTTGCTGATATGATACACCCTCATTGAGGGCAAGTCGCCTGACTTATTTTTATTTTGTAGAAAGTTGAGTACTCGTTTTCCAGCTTGTCAGCTATTTATTTTTACCAAACACTTCTGAATTGGTTAATAATGAATTGACGTAGCTCTGGGCGTACTTTTTTGCTGAAGTAATTATATTTTCCTTTTATGAACAGACTATTTTACTATGTAATAATTTTCCTTTTTATTCCCGTAAGTCAGCAATTTCAGCAACTTTATCAATCATCTATATAACATAGTTTCAGCAATTTCAGTTTGATAAATGAATCGGAGAAGCTGGCTTAACCTTATTTACATGATGAACCAACTGTTGTGGTAGGTCTCTTGGGGCAAAAGTTTTGATTGATGACAATCCAAGATACGCAATGGAGTGTGCTGATGTGGGGATAAAGGTTCTTCTCTTTGATTATGAAAATTCTTATCCATGGTGCAAGACAGATATAGTTGAAGGGCACCCCTTGGTTACAAAGGTCCATAATTGGGAAGAAGTGGAGCAGCAATTGGAAGCATGGATTTTTCCTGAAATCACTGCAAAGTAGGTTCAGGTCTGTACTGTGATATTATAGATAGACACAAGTTAATTCATCTTTCTGTCCAGTCAGGGTGAACGCATTTTTTTTTTTCTTTTTTCCCTTTTTTGAATATATACATTTATTCTTTTGTTGTTGCAAAAGCAGCAAGAGTTTAGGCTCCTGGATTAAGGAATGGAGCTTGTATAATAATTTAATTAATCAAAGTTGATTTGGTCATATTTTAAATTGGGCACGTCTGTTAGTCTGTATTTCATCTTTCAACTGCCTCCTATGAAATGCACAGATCAGATGCGCAAAAATGGGATTAAATATTTATATGCAGGAGTAGGAATGTTTTTACTTGGAATATTTTCAGTCCCAGACCAGACTTGAATAATTATAAAATACACAAAGACTAGATATTTACCATACTAGTTCAGACTAGGGATGGACTCGGGCCGGGCGGCCTGACCCGGAACCGGCCCGGCCCGGCCACTGTAGCAACCGGCCAGGCCCGGTGGCCCGGTCCAACGGTGGTTCGGGTCGAACCGGCCCAGTGGATACCGGTTCCGGGCCCGGGCCATTTGAGGTGGTTTGGAGTGGTTTGGGGTTGAGGGGGAGGGATAGGGGGTTAAATAAGAGAAGCAAAAAAAAAAAAAATTATGACCCAGGTGGCCCGGCCCGGTCTGGCCCGGAACCGGCCCGGAACTGGGAGCTACCGGTTCGGGTCCGGGCCCTCCTTTTGATGAACCGAGGCCCGGCCGGTTCAAGGCCCGAACCGAGTCCACCCATAGTTCAGACCAGACCCGACTAGAAAATTTCTGTCCAAGTAAAAACATCCTAGATACTAAAAGCAGCTTTAGCAATGAAATTAATAATTAGAGTTGTAAGAAGATGAAACCAAAACTGTGAATTTCACACTGATTTCATAAACAAATTGCGGTGGTACTGTTGAAAATTTTAAAATTGCTTTAAATAAAGGTTATACTCTTTATGTGTTTTTGAATTTTTTAAACGTTGATATTCCCTCACAAAAAGTATGTAGTAAATAAATAAATATAAAATTAAACAACTAAATACTCCTCGTGAATACATGAGTGAAGATGAGGATGAATTGATGAATGTGGTGACTTTTGTCCATCTAGCGATCTTTCACCGTTTGAAGCAAGATTTTATATTATGTTAAGTTGTGTAGTATTTAACATAATATAAAATCTTACTATCCTCCGTCTCTTTTTAATCACAACATGTTGAATTTTACACTATTCACATATACTACTTTGACTACATTTTATATTATTATTTTATGAAAATTATTTTTAAAAAAAGATATTGTTCAATTCATCTCATTACAAATTTTCAAAATCTAATTTTTAAATATCTTATACTAATAGAGATTAAGATATAATTACGGTCAAAGACGTGCGTTGGCAAGTGTGAAATGTTGACCGTTGCAACTAAAAAAGAACGGAGGAAGTATATTATTAAAACAAAAAGGCTTAAGTTAAAACAGGAAAATCTTATATATTATTAAAACAAAAAGGCTTAAGTTAAAACAGGAAACAGGGGAATTCAGAACTGGAATTGGAATACTCATATTGATAATTTAATCAGTATATGCTAGGTATGCAAGTTGAATCAATTTGAATAAGATTCCATTCTCGGCACTAAATATTCTTCATTGATTGTTTGAAGGATTGTGATTTGACAAAAGTAGAATTAAAAGTTAACAAATACCCAAGCTCTTTCCTAGTGGGTCCCCCTCTATTGCATTTTCACCTTTCATGTTCAAGATTCTCCCTAGTGCGGGTTTATGTTTAGTCATCATCATCCTCACTACCCCAATGCTGCAAAGGCTCTCCACCTATGATGAGATAAGTGGGTTGGATGTACTCAGTCTTACTCCTGTACTAAAACACAAAGAAACTGATTCCGGATGACCCATAATGAAAATTGCATCGAAAATTGCATTGACTAGCCGCTGCTTCAGAATAAAGAAGCGCAAACAATTTAGTGAATCATTTTATTTTATTCCATCATATTAATAAAACAAAAAATAATGTCTTTGGCTCCATTGTAAATGATGTAAAATGCGGGTTTCTGTAAAGACATAAAATAATGTCTTTGGCTCCATTTTTTTCATAAGAAAAATGTTGTGTTTGGCCTTAAACAAACACTCTTAACATGTTTGGTTGATGGGAGTTTTTCTATTCTTCTCACTTTATTCTCAATCAATGACAAAATACTCTTTTGTTTGGTCATCTTTCATTCCCTTGGGGATTTCTTTCAACTCTGAAGAATAAACCTTCGCATAATCGGTGTTGCTCTCTCGGAAGAAAAGGACTATGCTCAGGCAGAAATATGTGGGTAAACATTCACTATTGACATGTTTATTACTCCCTCCGGTTCTAAATAAACTTCTCACTTTCCTTTTTGGGACGGTCCAAAATAAACTTCACACTTCCTTATTTCCTTATTTGGCAAAGAAATCTACACCAAAACAGTGCCAAACAGTGCCAAACAGTGTCTCAACAGTGCCAAACAGTGTCTCAACAGTGCCAAACAGTGTCTCAACAGTGTACTCTACAGTAAAGTCAACTTTATTTCCTTAATAACTGTGAAGTCAAACACTGAAGTTTAAAAAGAACCGGAGGGAGTATTATTATTAGAGATATTACCTAAAATGGGACTAAAAAAGTTTGAAAATTCCAAAATAGGATTTCCACGTTTTTATTCCTAAAATAGGACTAATTACTGCCATGTTTTGGCAGTACCAGACTTCAAACATGGCAGTATTTTCCAAATTTGGCAGTAATTAGTCCTATTTTGGGAATAAAAACATGACAGTCCTATTTTGGAATTTTCGAACTTTTTTAGTCCCATTTCGGGAACTTTCCCTTATTATTATTATTATACAAATTGGGATGACTAATCATAAAACCTTTATTCCACCAACAGCAATGGCATTGGAATATAAGTTCCTTCTATGTTTTTCGTACATTTACACGGTTACACCTTATAAAACCAATGTTGTTAGAATTTGAAGCTACTCAACTTTCTCCATCAGCTTTATACCATAAGCTTGCAGAATATCCAACGCTGCAAAGTAACATAAAATAACTCAGAAATTATGTTTTAAACACGAGGAAAAACACTAAAAGTTTGGCATTGCATTTTGAATATTCAATTAGCTAGCCATTCAACACATTGATCATTGACAACTTCACCCCCCACCTCACATACATTTTACATTCAAGAAATGAATGGGAAGTACCTGGTACGTAAACCTCAGCATCAGTTGGCCTTATAACACCAGTTGCTTTTATCTTGTTTGAAAGTAACAACTGTCAAGTAGAAGAGATTTCAATCTCATCAGTCCGCACAGTTGATCCAAAAGTTTTTAAATTTTATTTCATGTGAAGATATATGATTAAAAAATTGAATCGAAAATTACCAATGCCCCGATGGCTGCGGGAATCCCAACAGTAAGAGCCATAGCGGTGGTCATCCTCCCATTATTAGTTCTTCCAAATTCCAAAAGAGTAGCTTCATGGGTTTCAGTTTGTCCGTCTGGAAAATCTACCACCACTTCATGATGCAAAAACACCATGTCCTGGTGATCCCAATAATCAAGTCAATCATAATAGGAATAAGTGAATGATATTTTTCATCCTTTAATTCTTTTTTATTACGTACATAAACAAGTTTAGTTAATAAGGCTAGAAAAACAATCGCTTATATAGTTAGGCAATCTCAGCAAATAACCATATAAGTCATTAATAAGGTTAGAAAATCAATGGCTTATATGGAAAGTGAGTGTTTTGCGAGGAATTCCTTGGCATGTGATACTTCAACCGTTCAACTCAACTCTTGGAAAGAAAGACATACTGAGTATGAGTTTGTAATACTTTCAAATATAGATTAACTGATTAACTAAACGATTAAATTTGATCCTTTAGTATGATTTGGAACATGTGCATCTTGAACAAGTCTCATGACCTAAACCAATTATGAACTACGTCCATAACATTAAGAAATTACCTGCTCTCCCTCCAAGTATGTCAACCGCTCCACCATTAATGAGCAAGTCACATCAAATGCAGACTTGCAGGAAACTGGAATTTCTCTTGGTTCGTGGAAGCCCAGATATCTAAAAAAAAGACATAACTGATAATGGGAAACTCTTTCCAGGATAGAACTTTGAGAATCAAAATACTGATTTCATACACTTTATTATGTGCTGTCAACTTACATGATAGTTTTGGCAGTGTTTGCTGCTGCATCTTTAGCTTTAACACATCCTAGTGCCATTATCTGATCTATAATGTCTTTTTCTCCAATTGAAGGTGCAGAAAATTTCTTATCATTAATTTTGAGGAGTCCAAGCAGAAAATCTACATATGTACATTTCTCTCCGTGTTCAAGAATGGGCATGGGTTCTGTACTGAAAAAGCCCAGCTTTGATAGTGTCCCCATTATTTCACTGAAACCTGCAAAGTTAATATATAAGTTTCAATGATTAGCTAGTACAACCCAAGATCTTATAAACTCATATTCAACTTGGTTGGGATCAGTAGTGGATCACTAAATCTAGGTTAAATACACTTCAACTGAACTACACTAATAAATTGAATCAAATCAGTTATGTAGTAGTAGTGTAGTACAACCCAAGAACTTTTTAACTAATATCCAGACGTGGGACTCTAACAAAATAATAGTAAGAGTTAAAAAGGATAAAATGCCTTGATAACGAAGGGTTCCTCGGAACACTGTGGACGCTTCTTCTCCTATTCCATATAAGTCCCCATAAATTAAAGAGTTGCGGTTAGGAAGACACTCCAATGCAAATGCTGGGAAACTCCCTATGCGAAGCTTTGAAGCGGAATCATAAAGATTTTGGCCTGCATATACCATTGCTTTAGTACACAAAAGCTATTGACCTGAGCTCTATAACTGTAAGAATGTGTTCAGATCACAGAAAATGCTAGGGAAATAATATATTTGCCAAGAAAAATTATTTGATTTTGACCCAATATCTTTATGACCCCCCATATTTTTCTTTCAGGATTCCCCCCATATTTTCCTCTAGTTTCTTTCCCTATCATTTCTCAGTTTCCAAATGGGTCCTTAGTAAACTTTTAAAGGGACTACAGATGACACACCTTCAACTTCTACAACTTCTCCTTGATATCGGTAGGTAGCTGGATTGCACCCAGCTCTTAATACCCCTTCTGGACTCCAACTGCAAAAAATGTTCAATTTATGACAGTTCAAGTTTTGTTTTATTTATTAAGAGGAATGGTGATATAGAGGAGAAGTTCCAAATTTCTGTTTGCCTGTACGGATTGGCATATTCAGAAGCAAGCTGCTTCACTACATCAAATTCAGAAAACAAAATGAAAAAGAAACCCCTTAATTTAGAGCTGGAGAAAAACCTGAACTTGTAAGCTAATGGATTGTTTGCAGCTGCTGGGGATGGAAGACCGCCACAGTAAGAAACAAATGACTTTATCTTTCCATTCCTTACATGTGCTTGGTTGATAATCTTCATTGCCATCATATGATCTTAAATATAGAAAAAGGATATCTCATTAACACAGATCAAGGCCACTAAAGTAAAAAAGCATATGCAACAAAAACAACATTTATCAATCCGTCACACAAAGGTAGTCCTATATTTATTCAAACATGATTTCAAAAATGTTAGTTAATATTATTGTTAAAGCATTCAATAGTTAAATAGTCAATTGTTTTTTCTCTATATTACATATATAACCAATGTCTCATTAATAATATTACAAAGAAGGCTCCTGTGAGGTAACATCAAGATACATTCATTATATAGAAGAAGAATTAATGATATATATGTTTTTCTTTTGGGTAAATCTTAGAATGGGTTGCACCGTTGCACACACTGAACTATATCTTAATATTTAGAAACAAAAGGGACAAAGTGCATAGAAGCCAGTAACTTGAGTAGAACTCTGAATTCACATACATGAGGGGTAAATTACCTATTCCTGGGTCCAAGCCCATTTCAGCTAGAATGGTTACACCAGCACTTTTTGCATCTTCACTTAGACTTGTCATAGAATCATCAACATAGCTGCTTGTGACCAGATTTGTCTTCAGCTATATCACACCACATACAAATCATCATTACTTGAAGAAAGCAAACTGTGTAACCAGCATTGAGATTACCATCAATCTAGTTTCACTACTTTCAAAAGTCCACATCATTTGCGCACTTTCGCACACACACACATCACACCCCACCCCTCAAAGAGGACACTGAGGCATTTCTTTTGAAATATAAATTTAAATTTTGGAGCCTAAATCCCAAAGAGTAGGTAAAACAGAATTTTATGCACATAATGCCATGAATACGTGATGATAGTTTACTGAGAAAAATTACCTTAATGCAGGCATTAGCTACGGTAGAATGAGAACTTGGAGGAAGCAAGCTGACAACAACATCTGCCTGCATACCTTAAAGCTGCAGGTTCAATATGCTTTTCTTGTAATGTAAAAAAGATTTAAGTGTCATTAGTATACAAAACACAGCACCTGTGAAATGTATTTATGTAAGCTGTCATGATTTGAGATGTCAAGCTGAACTGCTTTTGCATTTGAAATATTCTCGGTAACCTGCACTTACATGTTATCAGTATCTTATTGGAAGATTAATGTACTGTCTTCATAAATTAATGCAGAAAATTTCCATTTATTTTAAGAAATAATTTAGTCAATTGTACAAGGTAGAACTTCACATAGGGGAAAACATAAATATCGAAATAAGTAGAGTGTCATCAAATTACTATACAGAATTGAGGGACAATACTGACTACAGAATAAATACCTCTTCAGAATCCTTCAAGTTTAAAGAAGCAACGCTGACTTCAATACAGTTTTGCTCTTCAAAGTCATCAGAGATGCATGACTTTAGCTGTTTTTGGGCAGAAATACCACCTAATGATGCTAAAAATTCAACAGCTGGTCTACAAACCCGACCAGCACCTAAAATTAAGACCTTGTATTTGTTGTTTGCATCAGCACCCTTCTCTAAACTTGTATCAAGGACTTTCCCAACCTTTGAAGATAGCATACTGGCATTCTTATTGCGAGATCCCAGATGTTCATCTGAATTAGCTATTGAACTCAAAGAATCAAGTATTCTATCTAGAACAGCTTTATCATCTGCCCCAACCTGCCATTGAAAAAAAAGAATATAAAGATCTTTGTTGCACAATTCGAGTACCATTTAAGTTAGACAACCATGCAAATGATTGCTTTTTGCTGGATGGAATAAACATATGCTAGAGCGGTAGAGCTTAACATACTTCAACTTCTGAGTATGATAAGGATTCTGAACTCTGACCCACTTGACACTTCACCAAGTGGAATGCGCCGCCAGCCTCTTCAATGATATCCAAAGCTTCATTTATAAGAAATTGATCAAACAAATGACCACTTAGCTGGACCTGCCAATTTGCAATCTCTATCAGTGACAATTGATATTAACTAGCTTGCTAAAAATGTAATAAGTTATGATGTGTATTTCACACCCTTTGTTTAAATCATAATCTGATGTAGTAATATTCACACAAACATAAGAGAATAACGGTGTTTTTCATTTATTGTGTCTATTAAGTTTAATTGCCATAAACAAGAGAATAACTGTGTTTTCATTTCTTGTGTCTATTAAGTTTAATTGCTGTAATTAACTTAAAAATCTAATACATAATAATTAAGAGTTAGAATAGACTGACTAAGATGCCTAGAAAAAGGAATATTTTTGGTGATTGGACTTTCTAGCTAGCTGCTTAGCTATAACTCAACTCGGCAATGATTTTTAGTTTCTGAGTAATACGTAACCATCCTTTAATGTTTTGTATACGAAGTCTGAATACGAGTTTTAGAACATGAAATACAGCAAGATATAATCAAATCAAATTCTACACGAGTTTGGAGTGAACTCGCAAATCAAATTCAATACGATTGAAGTTTGCTTTATTATCTTTCTTCAACCCCTCCTCCTTACCAGAACTAGTAAAAGAGGGGTAAGGATAACAATTTGAATAAAAATAGCGAATAAATAAAAACAAAGAAACATAAATACCAATGTGGTGTATCTTTTCTTATTGGATGTCAAGTGGTCAAGTACGTCCGGCGAATCTCTGCCACAGAAAGTGGTAACCAAGTTGGTATATGTTTGAAATGAAACTCAAATAGACTACTATATAGGTCAAAGTTGCTTACATATTTTTAAAGCAGGAAGTATGAAACCTCAAAAACAGCAGAAAATAGTAACAAAACAAGGAAAATGAAGATGGTGTAGGGAGCATACTCGAGATCGGAGTTCCTCATTCTAGGAATATAGTCATACAAGGGAGTAAGATTCCCTAAATGGACTATGCAAGCTCTCCTTAAGGGTGCCGGTAATTTGTCAAGACTTTCTACAGATGCTAAGCTTCGAACAAATTGTGATAAAATGTCTCCGAAATGTTGCGAAGCCTACAACAGAGAATCCAAAACAAATGGAAAGTGAAGCAGCTTGAACGCACAGCTATGGACATAAAGATCAGGTAGTGTGTAAAGATCATATCACATTGTCTTCATACCTCTTTTGCATATTCAGTTGGAAGAATATCCACAGCTGAACATAATATACCATTTCCCTCCATATCATGATGGTATGTATTATTGAAGGGATCATATCTGGAATCAATTGTGAGGAAATGGTTGCAACCCACAGAAGGATGAAATAAAGACATACATGAATATATGATAGGCCCATTTGAATAAAATCAAAGTCTATGGTTGGGTAAAATAAAAAATAATAAGAGAAAATCTATGCACTCAGCAGAGTACATTTCTATGTAAAAAGGATTGGATTTAATTCTTTATTGGCCTGACAGATAAAAAAGCATACACATAAAATGGTTTTGATGTTTTGTGTATAATAGATACCAAATTATACCTGCAGAAAGGTGAATCAATAGATGTGGTTTGCTTGATGAACTCAATTGAGCCTTCTATATCACAACTTATATCACAAATTCCAACCAGTTGAGACCCATTCCTCATCAAATCTTGACACTGCTGGGTGGTTATCAACCGCGGGTATCTTCTCTCCCAGTACATGCAATTTACTGGAAGAAAGTTTTCAAAACTTAGGCGCTTGAAGTAAGCATCAGGTACAATAGAATATTTTCATTTTGAAATAAAAACTAAAATTACAAAAAAGTGGAAACACTGCAATTTGACTTTGATGCATTCAGTTTACATAGTATGTGTTTATTGTTTAAAAAACACAGATCAACAACTGATCAGGCCTCAGAAGTGAGATGAAGAGATCATTATCCCCACATCTTGATCTTCTTAGGTTCATATAATTGGGAAAAGTTGTCTTATGCTAAACTGCAGTTGCATCGTTATTTTTAATACTCCATCCGTCCCTTTTTATTTAGCCATCTTTGACCTTTCTAGTCAATGATGTTAAATTTTGGCCGATAGTATATTTATATATGAAAGTATTTATAATATGAAAACAATATGAAAATGTTCTTCGTCAAAAAATAAAAATACAAGGTATAAAATTTATAACTTTCTCAAATATATATTAGTTTAAATGATTTGGCAAAAGTTTACCACCATTGACTATAAAAGTCAATGATGGCTAATTTAAAAGGGACAGAGGTAATAATAGTTAAGATCTGAAGCATTTTTTGGAAACTCACACCCACAGTAGGATCTAAAGTGATTCCCCACTTTCCCTCCAAAGTAACTCAAACCCACAACCTATTTAATGTAGGTGGAGAGATGCTCTACTTGTGCGAGGCCTCCTTTGTACATCTAATCTATATTAAGCTAGAATATCAGGCGTTGTAAAGCATGTGACTCATTGGTAGAGAAAATGTAGAGTACTTAAAGTATAACATTTCACTTGAGAACATAGTGACAATTAAGAAATATAAACTCAGTAAAAGTTTAAGCTGGAGGATGCTTCCCTTTCCATACCATTTAGGAGGCTCATCACTGACCTATAACAGATGCATAAGGGGCTATTTTTTCGTGAAAAACAGGCTTGTAGTTCTCTGGGTGTGCATAGTAGTCAACCTGCAAGAAAATCAGATTGCGGCTAAGTTAACCTCAAGACAAATTGGATTTGAAAATATAATATTCAGTTACTGAAATGATACAAATGTTTAAATCATAGTTCAAAACTACAGCACTAAATTTCCTAATAACTTGTTCACATAATGAATATCAAATTGCATAATTCCTAATATAAAGAAGCTAAATGCTGTAAACGAAGAATATAAAAAACCAGCACAGTTATTGTGGTAATCACATAAGGAGCCACTAAAGCTAGTTCACATACCTTATCAAATGATTTTGAAGGTTCCTTATGTTCCACCATATCTTGACTAGTCACAACACAACCATACACTTGAAAGACCCTCTTTGATGATTGTCTCTTTGGAGTGAGATCCTTGGCCTATGAAATGAGAATTCCTTTTGTAAATGTTGAGATCTGGTATAAGAAGAAATACATCCCCTTCCCATCTCTACTAAGTGTTCTGTTCAGTAGGGTGTTTATAAATGTGGAGAAGGAAAAGTAAAAAGACATGGAAAAATTCAAGAAATCAATCAATTATACAGTCAACCATTTTCTCAATGTGACAGTAATTCCCTTTTTTAAAAGATTTTGTATCTACTACACAAACTTCTATTAAAAAAAAGCCTAGCCTAGCCTAGTCCAAGTAGAGAACGATGACATCTTAGGTAATACCTGAGAGCTAAATCTCAGCTACATAACACTCTGCAGCATATATTACATGTTCTTGGGGTACAGACTGCTATAATGGAAGACTTTGGTCATCCATCCAAGAGCAGGAATAACAAATTGCCACTACTAGAGATGTTGTAGCTCAAGTTGGTAACATGAAGGCTGGCTTCAAAATATTGTTTAAAAAACCAGTACTGTGGAATTAATCAAATGCAAATTTCTAGAAGCAGCATGCCAGGATTTGTAGTATCGTATAGAACCAAGTTAAAATTACCCGGCCAACTAGTTCTGGAAGTTTGCTTGCATCCACAAATGTGTGAGGAAGGAGCTTAAAGATTTCTTGAGAACCGTGAGAAACTACCGAAAAAAAATCAATAATTACTCAGACGTGATGAAAACCAATTTTAATGGCTTAGAATAAAGTAACGATGGATTGTGGAATTCCATAAGACCCAAATGTACCATTTCCTGAGCCAGTGAAAACAAAAACAAGAGGACAGATTCCTGAAGGAAGTCCAGCGGTGGCTATCTCTTCACCCACAGATATTACTGCAGCTTTGGCAGCAGCCAATGAGGAGTACATGTAAGATGATCCCAGTGAAAGAAAAGGGGTTGAATACCCAAGGTTAAGATACCCTGAAAGAGAATAGCCATTCAGAAAGAGCAGTCTATACTTCTCTTGCACAATAACTAAAGGAAGTGACACTCACACTGTCCCAGCCCACGTAAAAAATCAACCATTCCAGCTCTACCAGCAAACTTTCCAAATGCAAGTAGCCTCTTTCCATGATCTCCAACTATAAGTTCATAATCAAACAGTGATGCCTTCGATGCTAAGATCTAAAATCAAGAGCAAAGCTTTTACTGTTCACCCGAAAAGCCCCCTAACCAACTTCATCCTTCCATGACAAATCAAGTAAGGATGAAAACATTACCTTATCTAACAAGGGCATATTTTCCTTCTGCGCCTTATGGGTATGTGAGAAAAACGCATAAGCCCTATCAGGAAGAATCATATCAACCTACAACAAAACTAACATTCTATTAGCAATAAGATCATCAATCATTCAATCAACCATTCTTGACATCAAGAAACAATTTCTTTTAGCAAAAAGATACTACCTTGGGTTGTTTGATTCCCAATATGAGACCACACTCTGACAAGTCATCGGATACCTCACAACCCACATCCTCGTACAGAGCATCATGGTGAATACGCTTGGTGGATGGCTGCACAATGATCCGCGCCACTCCAGTCTTGCCCTTTCCACCGTGCAACAACCGAGCACAGTGTGAAGGGGTCAGGGGAACCCTTCTTTCCCACTTGTTTGTAGACTCAGAGAGGATCCCGACAACCCCATTGCCGAGCATTGTTAGTGAGATTATTGGGAAAGTTTCAGAGAAGAAAAAAAGAAGGAAAGAAAACGATGAGAGGAAACAGAACCGGACGTAATCTGGTAGCAGTGATGCAAACGTGAATCGCCGGCCACTGTGAAAACAATCGAGATGATGATTCACATTAAAGAATGGCGGATAAGATCATAAGAGCGTGGCAAATCTTTGTCTTTTTCTCGGCTGCGGCATGAATGTCAATTTTAAGAAGCACGTCACATGCCGGTTACGTAACCAACGTAGGCACCAGATGCGAATCAAATTGAGGATGTTTTGTTTTGGACGGTTTTCAGTCCCAGACCTGACCAGACCAGACTTAAACAGACCAGACCAGACTTAAACAGACCAGACCAGACTTAAACAGACCAGACCAGACCAGACTTCCGTAGTTATAAAATACACAGAGACCAGACGTTTACCAGACCAGACCAGACTTAAACAGACCAGACCAGATCAGACCAGACTTAAACAGACCAGACCAGACCAGACCAGCAAATTTCAGTCCAAAAGAAAACATCCTGAGTGGGAATTGAGACCCAACTTTTTTATGTCTTGTACGATGATGCTATCATTTTAGTATAGTATATTTGTTGTATTTGTTATTTAGTCTCTTGTAAATTGTCACAAAAAAATTAGTCTCTTTTAAAATATCCTCCATTTTTTCAATCGCAATATGTTGAATTTTACAATATTTATGAGCTCTACTTTGACTACATTTTACACTATTATTTTATGAAAATCATTTTTATTAAAAAAAATCAATTCATCTCATTTCAAAGTTTCAAAATCTGGTTTTTTTACAGTAAAAAATGTGCGTTATCAAATGTGAAATGTTGACCGTGGAAACTAAAATAGAACGGAGGAAGTACTACGTATTAGAAATGCCGAAGAAACAAATTTTTTGTAAACATGATGACTAATAATTCCATTTCTACCCCTAATTTAATTAATTATTAAATTAACCTAATCAATTGCCCCCCTAGTTCCTTTGCATAATCAAGGCAGTCTGTTAGTCGCGGGATCGGTCCATGGTGGTGGTAGCCGCTGGTAGCTCGACAGAGAACTGCAGGATTTTTTTTTCAGAAAGAGGCAGCAGCGATCTAGTGGCAACAATGCTAAAGTCCTATGATGCTCTTTTGATCCAATCACAAATAAAAAAAGTCATATTTAAGGTATTTAAAACTAGTAGGTTCTATTTTTGAAAAACCTACGTATTATGTTTTAGGAAGTGCTTGTGTTTGTTTCTACTTCAAAAAAGTGATGTTTTTAAGCGATTTTAAAGAAAGTGCATAGTAAAAGTAGGTAGTGTTTGGTAAGAGAAGTGATTAAAGCGGAGAAGTTAAAGTTGGAGTGTTTGATAAAAAAGTGATTGTTAGACGTATTATTATGTTAAACTACTAAAATGTCCCTGCATAAACAACGAGCATCTCTCCCACTCTAAGAAAGCCGACATGGGCATTCGAAGCAGGGGTATGGGTTTCCATGTCTTCATCCAGGGACGGATCCAGGATTCTGAGTCAAGGGGGGCGAAATTTTTCGTTAGTGTAGGGGGTGAATTTTTTTTGTTAGTGTAGCGGGGTGAATTTTTTTTCCCTAGTATAGCGGGGTGAAATTTTTCGCTACTGTAGGGCTATGCGGCTATTTTTATTCAAAAAATGATATTAATACATGCATGCACATCCTGAACGACATTTAAATCTATTACATTCTAAGTTTAGACGATGACAAAGACATCAACCAATACATTTTTAATAACTTCTCCATTGTTTAACCTCATGAATCGGTTATTGAATTGTAATTTTTGTCCACCAAGGAGGGTGTTTGTGAGTCATGACTCATGAGAAGTTTTCTTAATATTACAATAATAGTATACTAATATGTATGAGATTGTTATTTTTAGAATAATATGCACCACATACACACACACATATATATGGTGCATATTATATTTTAATATTTTTATTAATTCTATAATAATTTAGAGTTTGTTATCCATGCATTAAATTATTTTTAGAAAGCAAGAAGTAAATGAATTATGTAATCTAATGTCTATAAATATTTATATTTTGGATTCATTTCACGTGATCTAAAAATTGTGTAATTAGTGTGTCTGGTATTTAATATTGTTTGATATATGTTTTACGAATCCAGTACTTGTTATCTAATAAAGATAATTAAACATTACAAAACTAGGAATTCTTATATAATAAGTATCCTACATCTCAAATAACGAGTTACTCTATTGTTTATTTGTTTAAGTTATGTAAATTATTTTAGACGTTTCTTCTTTTAAATCTCCAATTAAGTATTACATTATGTAAGACTATAAATATTAATTTTGAAAATTAAAAGCTAAGGGGGGCGAATCTAATTAAATTATGAAAGTTTTATGAAAATATTACATATATGGTAAAAAAAATTGAATGTCCAAGGGGGGCGGTCGCCCCCCCCGCCCCCCCTAAATCCATCCCCTGTCTTCATCTCTGCCGCAATTGTTGATGCAACTGAAATTCCGGGTAGTATGTGTGTACCCATGCTACCTGGAACTTGATTCTAGAGTCCTCGGCAAAATCTCCAAAGCTAAGCTCAAATTGAAGAAGCGCGAATAGAATTCAAAAACCCTAATCCTCCACTATCACTTATTCACTCGAATTGAAGTATCATGCTCTTCTGAATTAATATAATGTTTTTCTAAAAAATATATATATAAATACAATGTTATATACGGAGTATGTGTGTGTGTTAAGGAAGAACAACGTAGGGAGCAGAGAAGTTAGAACACAGAGGTATTCAGAGAGATGGGGGTATTTTTGGTTTAAACGACATAAATGAATCAATATAACTATCCTTAAAGTTTGAACTAATTACAAAAAAAAACCAAGAAGCAGTTAGAAGCACCCCTACACCAACTTTTAGCTTTTAGATTTAAAGTGCTTAATTTAAGTAGAAGCAGGAATTTGAAAACACTACTTTCAGCTTTTTTTAAGCAAAAAGCTCAAAAGTGCTTTTTTAAAGCTCTTGCAAACACTGCTTTAGTCCTATTTGAGGACTTCTCTTATTGTTTACCCAAACAGGGTATGGGGTACGATGTCTATAGTGATGCTAGCATCCAAGGGTTTGGATGTGTGTTGATGCAAATGGGGAGGGTAATTGCCTATGCTTCACGACAGTTGAAGAAGCATGAGGTAAATTATCCTACTCATGATTTAGAGCTCGGGGCAGTGGTATTTGCACTGAAGATTTGGAGGCATTATCTCTACGGGGAGACATGTCATATATACACCGACCATAAGAGTTTGAAATACGTGTTCACTCAGAAAGAGCTGAACATGAGACAGAGGCGATGGATGGAGTTGATAAAAGACTACCATCTTATCATTGAGTACCACCCCGGTAAAGCCAACGTGGTGGCGGATGCCTTGAGCCGAAAGAGCTCATCTGGGGCATTGATAGCTAACTTGAGGGCTTTAAGAGCCCAACTGGAGGTATCCAGTAATGGAGCCTTATTGGCACGATTTGAGGTGAGACCTACTTTGCTTGATGAGATCAAGAAGGGTCAGGAAACTGACGAGGAAATCATGAGGATCCGGGAACGCATGCAAGCGGGACCAGTGGAGGACTTCAGGGAAAGAGATGATGGTCTCTTACTATTTCGTGATCGAGTGTGTGTACCGGCAGATGATGAGCTCCGAAAGTCCATCTTAGAGGAAGCTCATTCATCGGCTTATGCCATGCACCCGGGGGGCACGAAGATGTACCGTGACTTGAAAGAGAGTTACTGGTGGTCAGGCATGAAAAGGGAGATAGCCGAATACATCAGCCGATGCCTTACTTGTCAACAAGTCAAGGCAGAACATCAGCATCCAGCTGGGTTATTACAGCCACTTTCCATTCCAGAATGGAAATGGGAGCACGTGACCATGGATTTTGTGGTGGGACTGCCACGGACCGTGAGGAATTATGATGCCGTATGGGTTGTGGTTGATAGGCTCACGAAGAGTGCACATTTTCTACCTATCAACACTACCTATGCACTTGAGAGGTTAGCCAAATTGTATGTGGATGAGATCGTGAGGCTACATGGGGTTCCTATAACCATTGTGTCCGACAGGGACCCACGATTCACATCACGATTTTGGCCGAAGTTCCAAGAGTCTATGGGAACGAGATTGAAGTTTAGCACTGCTTTCCATCCACAGACGGATGGACAATCCGAGAGAGTCATACAGATTTTAGAGGATATGCTGAGAGCTTGTGCATTGGAGTTCCAAGGAAGTTGGGACAACCATCTAGCACTGGTAGAGTTTGCCTATAACAACAGTTATCAGGCGAGTATTGGCATGCCTCCATACGAGGCATTGTATGGGAGGCGATGTCGTACACCGTTGTGTTGGGACGAGGTTGGCATGGCCAAGCTTGAGAGCACAGAATTGGTGGAGATCACCAAGTCAAAGGTGAAGACGATTCGTGATAGGCTTAAGGCGGCCCAGGATAGACAGAAGAGCTATGCCGATAAACGCCGGAGAGCCTTAGAGTTTAAGGTGGGAGATGAGGTATTCTTGAAGGTTTCACCCTGGAAGGGAATCATCCGATTTCAGAGCCGAGGGAAACTTAACCCACGATATATTGGGCCATTTGTGATTCTTGAGAGAATTGGGGCCGTAGCATACCGATTGCAGTTGACTCCAGAATTGGAGAAGATACATAACGTGTTCCACGTGTCTATGCTGAAGAAATATGTGCCGGATCCGTCTCACGTATTAGAGAAACCACCTGTGGAAATACGTGAAGACTTGAACTACGCCGTACGACCGATGAGAATACTTGATAGGCAAGTAAAGAAACTAAGGAGCAAGAAAGTTCCAATGGTGAAAATCCTTTGGAAAAGTGACCGAGTTGAAGAAGAAACTTGGGAAACGGAAGCCTTAATGAAGGAACAACATGCATTTCTTTTTGAATAAGCATTTGTGAATTTCGGGGACGAAATTCCCGTTAAGGGGGGGTGAACTTGTGACACCGCGCCCATATGTACTTGAATTCGAAAGTTGATATGTATTTGAATTTCCTAGCGAATAAAATCGTGTAACAGAATTGGTATATTTAATTAATGTGCGATTAATTAAATTATTTATCGGGTCCATATTATTGAGAATGGGCTACCAAATATTTATTTGGGTCAATGTAATAATTATAGAAGCCCAATAAAATGCCAACCAAAGTTGATAAAAATATTTGGACAACCCGAGTGCTATTTGGGCCCAACCTACCAAAAATAGCAGGAATAATTGGGGGAAACTTCCTACACCCATTTGGGAATTTCCTACACACTTTGGAGAGTCTAAATAAGTCAAATTTAGACAACACATGAGGGTTGATGCGGATGGATGATGGAGGAAGTCTCCTAGAGACAAAGCCTACACACATGACCCCATACTCAAATTATTTTGAGTATTGATTGGGAAGAGATGCTTCACCCTTTCCCATTGCAATCATTCGGCCATCAAGGGAGAAGAACCCAAGGAGAACCAAACCTCACAAAGCTCTTGGCTAGGGAGAAGCAAGGAGATAGCAAACTCTAGGAAAAACTAGCAAGAACACAAGGTAAGAACTTATCTAGTTCTTTAACTAGTTTTATAGTGTATGATTTTTAAGAAATCATATGGTGGATTAAACATGATGTTCTACACGTTTAAAAGTGTAGAATAATGTTATAAAGTGGTGATAATTAACTTAGAAGAGTGGGTGAATCGATAGGAGTCGAAATCGCCGGAAACCGCCACTTTAAGGGAGCTGTTCGTAGCTGCAGACCACGAAAGCCGCCCACCTTTCACGAAAGCCGCCCGGCTTTCGTCTGCTGTCCAGATTTTTCATCTCCAATCGGTTTAGAACGGGGATTGATCGGAGGGCTTAACAAAGGCAACTATTTCAGCACTTCATAAGGTGAGGATGGCTGACTATATTGCTTATAATCTTTGGGTTAATTTCATAAGATTACCTAAAGTAATTAAATGTGATTTTCATGGATTATTAATGCTTAATAATGCCTAAATGAAAATATCATCGTTTGTGAATAGAAGATGCATAACATACAAATTTATGAGAGATTGTGTATGATGATGCATAATAAATGTGGAGGTATAATGATTGTGTAAACCATGAATTTTTGTGATAAAATATACTTTTACTTCATGTATAGAAATCATGAATGGATAAAAGTGATATTTTTGATATTGAGAGTAAATCGTATACGGATTCGAAAATCCATAAGAATGAGCCTTATAACTATGAGTTAAGGAGCTTGGCTGTTTAAAGATTTATGGATTAGTATTTAATTTACTAATCGGGAATGTTGTATAAAAGTGATAGAACAAATCCTAAGGACTTGGATTGTGAAGGATGCACCTTAAGTAGTCTTATGAGATGCCTTAAGGTAGGAATGGGTAACCACTAAGTTACATTAGGAGTAGGCCTCATTGGCTACTCAAGGTTGAGGAACTCTAGGCATAGAATTTGCTAGTGAGTTAGTATCGTGACTAGAGGAAGCCTCTAGCACGATGAAGAATGACTGGAGGAAGCCTCCAGCATTCGTGTAGGATGAACTAGTATCGTGACTAGAGGAAGCCTCTAGCACGATGAAGAATGACTGGAGGAAGCCTCCAGCATTCGTGTAGGATGACTAGAGGAAGCCTCTAGCATAATGTAATGTGACTGGAGGAAGCCTCCAGCACAAAGTATGTAAGGTGATTAGAGGAAGCCTCTAACACCGAATTTAGTGACTAGAGTAAGCCTCTAGCACGGCAAAACATGACTAGAGGAAGCCTCTAGCATGGTGAATTAATATAGATGGGCGTGGCTTGAAGTCACGGGGAAAGGGTTGAACGTTTTCAAAGTAAGACATGGGTCTTCGGGCCGACTACTTGACTTTATATATAAAGTAAGTATATTTTCAAAGAGGGTAACCACGGGTTATGACCTATATTATATTATCACCCTATGTGAGGGTCTTGGAAATTGAAACTTGAATTATACTTAGTATAGTTGTCATTGTACTTGTCAAATGCTTCCAAGTACTGACCTCCCCTTCACGGGGGAGGCCACCTCACAGTTTCAGGTAGGAGTTGAGCTCGCTACAAATACTCGTTGCTTCGAGGGAGGATCCAGGAGGGAAGACGTGGTTCGTGCTTCCTCCGTTTCTGTTTTTCAAACAATTACATTAATGCTCATGGATATTATTTTTGAATAATTATTTGAGGGCTTGTATGCCCATGTTCGCCAAAGTGTGGCATAAACACTTTATTAAATGTTTCCGCTGTTTTAATTAATTATTTTACATTATGATTGTTTACGGATGTACTATTGTGAATGGTATTCAAGACGCCTTGTATGGTATGGATGAGTTGGACTGCGGTTGGCTATTCGTACTGTACGGCGGGTTGTTGACGTGTCCGGTAGGTCCGGGGCGTGACACATTACATTATGCTAGAGGCTTCCTCTAGTCATCTTACACTACGCTAGAGGCTTCCTCTAGTCGTCCTACACGAATGCTGGAGGCTTCCTCCAGTCATTCCTCATCGTGCTAGAGGCTTCCTCTAGTCACGATACTACTCACTAAGCAAATTCTATGCCTAGGTTTTCTCTATCTTGAGTAGCCTATGAGGCCTACTCCTAATGTAATTTAGCGGTTACCCATTCCTACCTTAAGACATCTCATAAGACTACTTAAGGTGCATCCTTCACAATCCAAGCCCTTAGGATTTGTTCTATCACTTTTTACACTAACCTTCCCGACTAGTGAATTCAATACTAATCCATTAGTCTTTAAACAACCAAGATCTTTAATTCATTGTTATAAGGCTCATTCCTACGGATCTTCCACTCCGTGTATGATTTAATCTCAATATAAAAATATCACTTTTATCCATTCATGATTTCTATACATGAAGTAAAAGTATATTTTATCACATAAATTCATGGTTTGCACAATCATTATACCATCATATTTGTAATGCATCATCATACACAATTTTCTCATAAACTTGTATGTTATGCATCTTCTATTCACAAACAATAATATTTCCATTTAGGCATTACTAATCATTAATAACCTATGAAAATCACATTTAATTACTTTAGGTAATCTTATGAAATTAACCCAAAGATTATAAACAATATAGTCGGTCATCCTCACCTCAAATGAGCTTTAAAACTTTCCTTCTCGATCCAATGACCAAAGCCTCGGCCAAGAAAGATTGAGGACTGATTCCTTGCTTGGAATTGAGTGTTAAACAGCCTCTTCAAAGTGCTAGTTCAACTCCTAACCGAAGACACAAAAACAGTCCCTAGAACGGGTGTTTCCCGACAAAATCGTTCCCTAACCTTTCAAGGTTTTGTCTAGATTAGTATCTAACTTTTCCAACAATTAAAGTCACTTTATAATAACATTTTATACACTTCAATCAGTGTATAATAGTTCTTCAATCATTTATATGGTTTAGACAATAGAGAGGAAGGTTTTGGATTCAAACTTACTTTGAATACAAAAACGTATTCCGCGAGGTTGTGTTTTGCTCGGGCAATTTGAAAGCCTTACACTACTCCGATTGATGCAAACCAGACCTTCACGGATTCCTCGTCTTGAGAGCTTTCTGTGGGTATCTCGCACGCCTTATTTGGATGTGTATAACTCGAGATATGAAGCAAACAAGTAACCTTACGCACTGGAAAACGAACCTGCGGCAGCTTCCCCTTCCTCTTGCTTTCTTGGTTGTGTGGCTCTCTCTTTCTCCCTTATCCTTGGGAGTTCGAATGAGGGGCTTAAGGGAGTGTCCAAGACCCTTCAATAAGGGTGGATAAGTTGTGTGGAGTGAAATGAATTGGTATGGTCTCCATGAGATGTTTTTAGACATGGGTGGGTCTCACTTTTGATCTCTTTGTCATAAGATGTCTCTTTGTACTCATTCTAATTTATTTGGAACAAGTCAACTCTCTACATCATATTATTGATCTCCAATATGTGTATGATCATCCCAATAATTTACATGATGAATATTATAGAAGAAAAACCCTACTCCCATTATTTAGCTCAATAATGCCAAAGATGGGGTTATAGGCATTTGTATTCTTCTCAAATCATCCTATCACTTATTTTGACATTTGCCATTCATATTATTAGGCTACAAGCCGTGTGGGTCGCCCCCGAGTGGGCCTACGACGCCATTCTCGAATACTTGCTATTCTAGCGGGTTGAGTCCAAAATAATATCTGGGCCGCCCGCCCTTCCTCAACTTGTCTTGAAACGTTATGTATTAATATTTAGATAATGTTAGGCTCTTTTATTTATTAATAAGGCCCGATACTTATATACGAGTTCGAACAGTACAATAATCGATCATTAATTACGTAAAACATTAATCGTTTTACAATCGTTTGGGAATCAGAAATCCAATACATAAACTTTGAATTTTAAAATCAAGTTTTCAAGGACGTTCGGGTGCGGTGTCACATCTACTCTGCAAATCAAATACTTTCCAGCCTTTCTGGGTGTAAGAGTACCCCAAAAACACACATTTTATACTACGAGGGGCAAATTTATCGCCCCCGGTATTTGGCTCATGCGCATAACATAGGCAACCAAAGACCCGCAGTTGACTATATAATGGCAATTTGTTATACAACAACTCATATGGACTTTTATTATCTGTCACAGGAGAAGGTAACCGGTTGATTAAATAACCCGCTGTTAAGATGCACTCCCCCCAAAAATCAATAGGCAAATGTGCATGAAAACGCAATGTTCTGGCCATATCCAAAATATGCCTATGTTTTCGCTCAACTCTTCCGTTTTGTTGAGGGGTGTATACACAAGAAGTTTGAAAAATCATCCCATTTGACAGGAAGTAGTCACGTAAACCCACAAACTCTTTGCCATTATCACTTCTTACAATTTTTACATTTTTGTTAAATTGGCGTCCAACCATGGCAAAAAATTGTTTGAGGATATTTTTCACTTCACTTTTCTCTCGCATTAGATGGACCCAAACAGCTCTAGAAAAATCATCCACAATAGTCAAGAAATAACGAGCACCACATGAAGAAACAACACGATAGGGACCCCAAATATCACAATGAATCAACTCAAATGGTTCAACAGCCCTAGCACTACTGGTAACAAAACTATCACGAGTGTGTTTGCCTCTCACACAGGCATCACACGTTTTATTTTGGACTAAATTCAGCAAACTTTTATTCAAACAACTAAGCAACCGTAAGACTTTTAGTGACGGGTGACCCAACCTTGAGTGCCACAAATTTCCCGGGTCCATGTTTCCCATTGCATGTACTCGAACTTGATCCAAACCCCGAAAATAATAAACTCCCCCGCGTCGTTCACCCACTCCAATCGGCATCCTCGTAGGTAGGTCCTGTATTACACATAAATCATTAGTAAAAAATACATCACAATTTTGGTCATCTATTAATTTTCCCAAAGAGATTAAATTGCACTGTAGGCCAGGAACCAACAAAACGTGTATTAATTTTAGACGTCCACTAAGAGCCGTAGTTCCCATGTGTTGCTTGGGTGATAACACCATTCGGCAGTGTTACTCCTATTGGTGTTATCGGCACTATTTCGGTTAGAGCCTTGTTATTCCCAGTCATGTGAAAGGATGCTCCAGAGTCCAATACCCAGTTGCTAAGAAATTCCATACCTGTGAGTTTTTCATCCGATGTAGAAGCCTTACACTTTTCCATCAATTTGAGAAACATTTGCCACTGTTCGTCGGTGAATTCCGGTTTATGCAAAGTCGTCTCCCTGCTTCCTTGTCCCGGGTATCCGTCCGGCTGAAACTCGCCCACATGCATGGCCTGAGCACCACCGCGTCCTGTCCCTCGGCCAGTTCCTCCACGCCCCGAGCCTCCGCCACGGCTCGGTCCGCCGCGATTTTGTCCCCCACGAGCTCTTCCTCCGCGTGCTCTACCTGGATTCTCATGCCACCAGTCCGGGTAAATACCGGTACGACGGAAGCAATTCTCAATCTCATGTCCGGGCTTGTGGCAGTAACTGCACTTGCCACGTTCATCCTTTCCAGCATCGATTCCAGCGCGGGCAGTAAAGGCCACCACCTCGGCTTTGTCCTCCCGTCCGCGAGTCAGGTTTTGATGACGCTCCTCTTGCACCACCAAGTGATAAACTTTGGTCAATGGCGGCAGTTCGTCCGTCCCGAGCACATTAGAGCGCAAGGTCCCGAAAGTCTCTCTATCAAGACCCATAAAAAAATCGTGAATCTTCTCCGATTCCACGTACTTGAGGTATAATTTCTTGAGATCACAAGTACAACCGTTGCACTTACATCGAGGAAAGTTCCGTATTCCGTCGTATTCTTCCCACAAGGTTTGAAGCTGGCCGAAATACATTGTGATCGGCTGTCCATGTTGCTTGCAATTTCGTATGAGTTCTTTCAGTTCATGGGTCCGCATAGCATCTCCCACAGAAAAACGTGCTTCCAAATCGGTCCAGAGATCACGCACGCTTTCCATATAAACAAGGTTAGTTCGCAGCGATGGATCCACAGAAGTCATTAACCAACCGACTGCCATGGAGTTGACAGTCAGCCAGTCCTCCAAATCCCTCGGATTCGTCAAGGGTCGCTCTATAGATCCGTCAAGGAATCCCATCTTCCGTTTAGCGCGGAAGGCGTTTTTCATGGCCGTAGCCCATTCACGATAGTTATTCTCTCCTTTAAGAATAACAGCACATATCATCATTCCCGGATGGTCGGAGCTTGATAAAAAATACGGTGATGACGGATCATTAATTTTCCGCCGCTCCGCATGATCACGGTGGCCGTCGCCACTTCCCTGCGTGGTTTCTCCGGCCATTCTGTCGTCGTCTGAGCGTGAACGGTAGGTCCCGTGTCACTGCTCTGATACCATGACAAAAGAGGAAGAAATAATATGGAAAATATCGTGTTAATCTCGCTGCTTTACAAACCGAACCCCCCCATATATACAATTGCACGTAGGAGTAAAACACGTACGTTCCCTGCGTGACTTGTGGAGGAAATAAGGAAATAAATTAAATGATACAAACATTCCTAATCTAAGTCTACTACTACGTACTAGACTACAAAACGTTACATAAAAAATAATGTGCATGAAGATTATAATATTGCTAACAAAAATGTGCATCATTGGAGTTTTTGCATGTTTAGCGTGCTGCAACAACCCATCTTTAATTGTTACGGATAAAATATACATGGCCTTCCCCGCTTTTATCTTCCATTTTCTTAATGACAATGTGGTGTCATTACTATGTCCTACAAATCTTTTCCAAGCAAATAAAATTGCACACAAACACTTCAAGCGTTGTAGTTGGGGTTGTTAAGTTTTTCACCGCAACTTACCGAATTTGAGATATTCATAGTGACTTGAATATATGACAATCAATATGCATAGCAAGTTTAGTCCCAGACCAGTCAGCTTCACAATCCCAGATTGTGCACTAATAGTACCTCTGTGTTGCCTTAACTCTTCACGGACAATAGCCCCCGATCACCAGCTCTGATACCACTTGTTGAGATTTGATGGAATAAAAGGGAACTTTAGTCATATAAAATATTGAGTACAAAGATTATGAGTCTCTCTTTCTCTCACTCTTGAGAAAAAAAAAGGAATATTTTTAGAATTGAGCTCCTACATTAATTAGATTCTAGAATGTTTCTAGCCAACTTTAATTATTACTTAATTCTAGGGAATTCTTCACATCCTATGTAGAGTACTTAATAAAGAAGGTTATAGAAGATTCTAGAGAGTCGTCGACTTTTCAACATCGGATAGGCTGCAAGTTCTGAACCAAAGGTTCTAGGTAGCGGTTCAGTTCTTTGGATTTTGAGAAATTGAAAATAAAAATTTTATTTTCAAAAAATTAGTAGTAGTAGTAGTATACTAGTAGTGTAACTATTAAAATAATAATAGTAATGATACTAACAAGAGAGAATTCCCTAAATATGAGTAAAAACGTTTTGAAATTCCAAATTAGGAGTATCATGTTTTTAAACATGACATTTTTTTCCAAACTTGGCTTATTACTCCTATTTAGGGAATAAAAAACATGATACTCCTATTTTGGAATTTCAAAACATTTTTACTCCTAATTAGGACAATTTCTGTATTAACAATAATAATATCAAGATATAGTAGTAGTAGACTAGTAGTAATAGTTATTTATTTAATATGAAAATAGTACTCCACAAATAATAATTTTTAGGTATAACCTTTTACACACTACTAGTTATAATACGTTTTTATTACAAATTATAGTAATAAGTATACATAGTTTACTAATTACTAAATTATTTTAATTATTAACTACTATCTAATTATTATACTTCATCATAGCAATTGTAACTATTAGTTATATTAACACTTTCTGGGAATCATTTTATTTGAATAATCTTATTACATTATACTTACTCTATTTTAAACAATAACTAAACTTTTAAATTTAAAGAATAAAAATGTATGATTGTTATACTATTAATATTTTAATGAACTACAGACAACTGCCATCAGTGAATAAAAATAATAATATAAAAAAGAGTTGAAAATGAAAATTAAAACCAAAAAGTCGAACCAGAGCCGAAACCGCCACTTCAGAACCGCTACTATGCAGTTTCAGTTTCATAATTTTCGGAACCGCGAATCCTCGGTTCGGTTCCGGTTCGAACCGCAAACAAGTCTACCTCCACCCGGCTTCCAAACATAGAGTACGAAAAATTCACAAATTGCTAAGTACCCGTACTTAGTTTCACCAAAGCCGTTTTCACTCTGAAATGAGTAGCTTGTATTTTCGTTCAGACAGCTTGTAAATAGGAAAAAAAAATGAAGATCGTACAGTCCGATAGCTTGGTGGTTTATAATTTAGCAAGGGAAAGAAAGAACATCAATGAAAAACAACGGTTGAAAAGGAACATATTCCATCTGAAATAGGGATTACCCCTTCCCTTCAACAGAAAACAGTTTGAATCAGGCTGTTAGGCTGGTAATCCTGAAACTTCTCTAATCCATGCCATTTTTTTTGTTTCCCTCTCATAGTTTTGAGAAATTTAATCATGCCTCACTAATCCACTCAACCCGAACGTTAATTAAGCGAACTAATGAACCACGAATAAAAACAGAGCCAGAAAATCTCTGAGCTTTCAAGTCTCTTCTGCCTTGGATTGGGTTGAATCCAGGGCAGAGTTGTGCTCTGCCTCCGCCTCTAACTAATTAATCAAGCATTCAAACAAAATTAATTAAAAGAGAATGGCGTTTCAAGATTTTGATCTGATTTCCGAGCGGCGGAAGAAGGAAAAGCAGGCCAAGATGCGGCGGAAAATCATCACCGCCGTCGTTCTGGTGGTCATCATACTCCTCGCCGCCGCCGCGGCATTTGCATACTTTTTTGTTCTTAAGGCTCCCCACGAAGAACAGGGGAAGCATTCCACTAAGACAAACAAGTCACACAAGGCAAAATCTTCCCCGCATCCCCCACCTCCGTCTCCTCCCAAATCGGAGGAGAGGGTGGAGCAGGGCGAGCCCCCCGCCGCCAAATCGAAGGCTGTCACTGAGCAAGCCGTGTCGGAAGCCCCGTCTGAAACACCTTCCGAAACACCGTCCGGAGTGCCTTCTGTGTCACCATCTGAATCCCCGTCCGAATTACCTGCCATCGGACAGGCTCAGAAGGTGATAACGACAATATGTGCCGGCACGGATTACAATGCCACCTGCCAGGACAGCCTCGGGAGGGCGGTGAAGGAGAACGCCTCCGCAGCTCACAACCCTAAGGAGCTTCTTAGGGCTTCCATGGCGATCGCCGTTGAGGAAATCGACAAGGCGATCAAGCAAGCCGGAGATCTCAAACTCGACACGCCACAGAAGAAAGCGGCATTCGACGATTGCAAGGTGCTCCTCGCCGACGCCATGGATGAATTGAACAGCTCAATGTCCGGCGTAGGTGGCCAGGATTTGGAAAATCTGTCATCCAGAACCCCTGATTTGAACAACTGGCTGAGCGCCGTGATTACCTATCAGGACAATTGCATCGACGGCTTCCCCGACGGAGAAGAGAAAACTGCAATCCAGAACTCCCTCAAGGTCGCCGGGGAGATTTCCAGCAACGCTCTCGCCATCGTCTCTCAGCTCTCCTCCGCGCTTTCGAGCTTCAAAATCCCCGATTTCGACCTTGGTGGGCGGCATCTACTCGCCGAGGACGGCGAGGAGTTTCCGGAATGGATGGATCATGAGGAACGCAGGATGCTGAAGGTTGAAGCCCCCAAACAGCCCGCCAATGCCACCGTTGCCAAGGATGGCAGTGGAAATTTCACAACCATTAACGCAGCTTTAGCTGCCATTCCTGAGAAGTACGAAGGGCGGTAAGAATTTCAAACATAACGGCCAACCAGTCATTATATGTTTGCAACGTCTGTTTTTAAAAAAATGATTTTTAATGAAATAGGGAGAAATGATTAAATAAAAGTTAATAGTGTTTGAGAAAAAAGTGATTTTGAAAAATAAAAGTGAGTAGTGTTTGGGAAAATAAGTGCTTTTTGTGTAAAAGAAAAAGTAAAAGCACTTTTGACGCGGAAGCTGAAAAAAATAAAAGTTGTAGTGTTTGGGAAAATAAGTGTTTTTTTAAAGCCAAAAGCTAAGAAGTGCTTTTTTAAAAGGAGTTGAAAACCAACCCTAAAAGTAATTGCACAATGCCACTCCAAAAATGATTATGGGAAAATCACATTTTCAATCACTCAAATAGTCGCCATATTGAAATGTTAGCCTTGTATTCCTAAGTTTATAAATGTCACCCTTCAATTGTCCAAATTGATGTAAATGTGGTCATTTTAGGAGTGAAATGTACTCATCGCCCACATTGTACATTTTACCCCTAAAGGACCACATTTACCACGATTTGGACAATTGAGGACTGACATTTACAAACTTGGGAATTCAGGTCTGACATTTCAATATGATGACTATTAGAGGGACTAAAAGTGCGATTTTCCCAAAATTGAATGGAGACCCTAAAAGAATTACCATTTAAACAATTTCGCCCAAAATTGAAACATTTCTCGAATTTGGTCACTTTGATGTTCTTGAAGCCCAAAATCTACTACATTTTGAAAATCCGAATTGTCTTAAATAGAAGTAAGAGTAATGTGAAAATACAAAATATGAATATTACTCCATTCGGATCACTTTAGGTGTCCTAGTTTTCTTTCTGGATGTATCAAATTAATTGTTTCATTTCATTTTTTGGAAAGAAACTCACTCAAAAATTAGATAAAGTATCATTACAATATCGCTACAATACCAAAAACCTTTTACTTTTATTAATATTTACAGTAATTATCTTACACCATACAATACTCATATTTTGGAAAAACACAATGTACAATATTTCTATTTTAAATTGTTATTACTTCTACTTTGGAATATTTCTCATAAGCTAATACACATTGACACTCAATAAGTAGATGAACGCAATAAATTAATACAAATAATTTTCAGTTGTATGCAGTGCGTTTTCTAATTTATGTTCAAAAGTTTATTAGGGTTGGAAATAAGGCTTAAACTTGTGTATGAAATGCAGGTATGTAATTTTTGTGAAGGAAGGAATATATGAAGAAAATGTAGTGGTCACCAAAAAAATGGTGAACCTAACAATATATGGAGTTGGGTCTAAGAAAACTATCGTTACAGGGAGCAAAAATTACGTGGATGGAGTGTCAACATATCAAACTGCAACATTTGGTACGTGTAATAACAAATCTTCATTTAGATATGCAGCATATGCTATTGAACAGAAAATTAATAAGCATCCCATGAGTGTTTAAATTTTATGGTTTTTTTTTGTCATTTTAATATTGGTTTTTGTATCTATTGTTGAATGTTTTCAGTTTAATATTTTAAAAGGAACTCTTCCTCTATTCTTTCTAAACAATATGTTTAGTGACAATTTTGACATTGCAATAGTTGTGATAGCATACTAGTCTCATACCAAATTAATTGAAAAGAGACTCTTCCTATATATTTTTTCTCTCAAATACTCTGCCCCTTTAAACATGTCACATTTTTCCTTATCGGTCCATCAAATTAGAATTGTCTCATACTGAATTTGGTCAAATTTGTATACTTATATACCATAAAAAAATTTTCTTATTGGTCTTATTTTATCAATTCAATATCAACCATAAATATTCAATTTTTTCTTCATGTTCCAATATAAATGGGACAGATGTAATACTGCATTTTGTTGTCGCAGACAAAAAATCCTGTTTATGTAAAAAAAATTGTTTTGCAAATATTTTGTATTTAGTTTGGTCCAAATTGAATTGCAATTTACATATTTTAAGGCTGATTGACGATAAAATTAAATCATGCATAATATCTATGAGTGTTTAATTCATGTTTCGATAGTAAAATTTAGAAATTACATTGACAATTTTATAAAATTGAAAATTTCAAATTAAAATATAATAAAATTTTAATTTGTTAAATAAATTAAATGAAGTTGTGGTGATAGAGAAAAGTAGTGCAAAATGCAAATTACAAGTTTATTTTCATAATAATAATACATAGTAATAATAACTTGGAAAAATTCGAAATAATAATTCCAACTATTGCCGGTCCGCTGACAATAATCTCAAATATTGATTATTTTTGTATAATCCCAACTATAAGGACCATCTGCCAATAATGGTCCATAACCAAATATTATCTCCTATAACAGGGGAATTTTAAATATAAATTAAGCGTAAAAATTAAAAGTTTGGATTATTTATAGGGGTTACTTGATATATCTCTTCTCATCCACTTTAGAAACTACAAAAATTTATTTATAGAGATCATTAATGACGAAATGTCCTTAAAGTTGAGATTATTCTGAAATAATCGATAGTTGGGATTATTATGAGCGGACCCTCTATTATTACTAACAATTTTTTCTAATAACTTCATTTTGATTAATTGAATTGTACGTGTAGCTGTGATGGGAGATGGATTCTTGGGCCAATCGATCGGCTTCCGGAACACGGCGGGGCCGGAGAAGCACCAAGCGGTGGCGCTCAGAGTCCAAGCTGACCGGGCAATTTTCCTCAGCTGCCGCATGGAGGCGTACCAAGACACCCTCTACGTCCAAGCCCACCGCCAATTCTACCGCGGCTGCTACATCACCGGCACGGTGGACTTCATCTTCGGCAACGCCGCCGCCGTCTTCCAGAACTGCATGATCTACGCGCGGAAGCCGATGGAGAACCAGCAGAACATCGTGACGGCGCAGGGGAGGACCGACAAGCGGCAGACCACCGGAATCGTTCTCCAGAACTGCAAGATTCTCGCCGACGACACTCTGGAGCCGGAGAAGGCGAAGACCAAGAGCTATCTGGGCCGTCCATGGAAGGAGTATTCAAGGACGGTGGTAATGGAGTCGGAGATCGGCGACTTCATCGACCCGGAAGGGTGGATGCCGTGGAGCGGCGACTTTGCTCTGGCTACGCTGTATTACGCCGAGTACGGAAACTCCGGCAAGGGGGCGGCTGTTACTTCCAGAGTGAAGTGGGAAGGTTATAAAGGCGAGATAAAGAAGGAGGAAGCCATGGAATATACCATTGGGCCATTCTTGCAAGGGGAAACTTGGCTTAAGGCCGCCGAATGTCCGGCCCGTTTTGGCCTCTCTGACTAATCCGATCATACTCTGTTTTTTTTAATTGCAGTAATTTGCCTATAGTAGGAGATTATAGAATGCATATACTTAACTTAAAAAATTGTCATGGCTAATTTTTTCTTGTAATTTTTATAAATCTGTAATTGTCCATGTTTAATCATATACGAAGTATATAGCAGAGTAGTAAAAAGGGGACGAAGAAGAAGAGAGAAAAAACAATTGTTTGAAATTCTAAACCCAATTGAATCTGCTCTTGTACTGTGTATCTTAACCTATCTTATAAAGGACAGTTTTTCATATTAAATGCTCTTTCATGCTTTATCATATTGTACACTATGTCCTTGGGGTTGTACCAATACTACTAAGTTAAGTTATAATGCTAACGGTGTTATATTGTTAACTTAACGGTGTTAAGTTAAGTTATTGTGATACCCACCATAAGATACACCACCGTGAGCAAATTAATACTCTGTACACAGTAGCACCACTTCCGACCTTCGGCTTATCCGCTAAATTGTTGCTACAAAGTTTTCTTGAAAATGGAGAGCTCCCCCAAATCCAGGCGGTCTTCCTCCAGGCAGCAGCAGCAGTGCCAAGATGACGGCAACGATCGTCGGCAGCAGCTCGGTCCGGCAACGATGATTTAGCTCCTGCGTACACCAGTACGGCGTTTCCTTTTCTCCGGCAAGAAAGCGGTCTGGCGATCCCGGCGTGAGACTCGGGAGTATTTCTCCTCTGAAGACGGCACTCTCTCTTCCTTTTTTATGGGTTACATACACTCCCGATGTTAAAATCCGCTTAAGTGGACAAGATGATGAGGTTTCCGTCATTTAATATTCAACTTTCCTACTGGTTTGGTGTTCGAGGTAATTTTATCATGTCTTTTTATGAGCTTCTAATGATTAAATGTTGAATTTATTCAACTTCATGTAAACTTTTGTTGGCAGATGGATTGAATACATCTTATCAATTCTGTTCAAATTACTCACCTTAAAGTAGTGTGTTTGTAAACTTTTACAGAAAATTGAAGATCAAAGGAGTATTTCCTTGATTCAGAGAGAAAGATAGCAATGTACAGATTGTAAGATCAGGAAGAATCGATGAAGAATCGATATATCCTTATTAGGTCTTATATTTACACTATTTATATGATGTAATATTAAAGTAAAAATAATAAGAAATAAGTATTTGCAATTTAGTCCTTCAGCTCTTTCTTTTCATTATTTTGAACTCCTTGATACCCCCCCTCAAGATGAGCATGGATATCTAACAGGTTCATCTTGACAGTGAATTCTTCAAAGAGTGGATTTCCCAGAGCTTTAGTATATACATCTGCAAGTTGACAATGATTTTTAATGAGTTTAAGGTTGATCAGTCCAGTAGAAATTTTTTCTCTTATAAGGTGGCAATCAAGTTCTATATGTTTGGTTCTTTGATGTTGAACTGGATTATGAGCCAAAAAATATGTAGATTGATTATCAATATGCAGATTAATAGGAAAAAGATGTTGTATTTTAAAGTCCTTTAAAAGATAATGAAGCCATTGTGCTTCACAAACAGCATTGGCTGCAGCCCTATACTCACTTTCAGTAGATGATCTACTGACAACTTGTTGTTTTTTAGATTTCCATGAAATAAGAGAATTGCCAAGATAAAAACAATAACCAGAAACACTTCTTCTAGTGTCAACACAACCTGCCCAATCTGAATCACTATAACCAGAAAGTTTAAGATCAGAATTAATGGAATAGAAGAGTCCTTTACCTGGAGCATTTTTGAGGTATCTGAGAATTCTATGAGCAGCATTTAGATGAATGTCAGTAGGTTTAGCAAGAAATTGACTTAAAGTTTGAACACTGTAAGCAATATCAGGTCTAGTTACAGTAAGATATAAAAGTTTGCCAATAAGAGTTCTATAGACTTTAGGATCAGATAAAGCAGTACCATTTTCTTTTGAAAGTTTAATTTTGGAATCCATGGGTGTACTGTAAGGTTTACAATTTAAGTAACCATTCTCAGAAAGAATATCTAAAGTGTATTTTCTTTGAGAAAGACAAATTCCTTTTTCAGATCTGGCAACTTCAATACCAAGAATATATTTGAGATCCCCAAGGTCTTTAATAGTAAAAGTATTATGTAAAACATCTTTAACATAATTAATTTCAGTCTTATCATTACCAGCTAAAATTATGTCATCAACATATAAGAGTAAAACTGTTATAGAATTATCATTACTTTTTGTGAAAAGAGAAAAATCAGCCTGAGACTGAATATAACCAATACCTTGGAGACATTCTGACAGTTTGTAATACCATTGTCTTGAAGCCTGTTTAAGGCCATATAGACTTTTCTGCAATTTGCATACTCTGGTATCACCTGGAGATAAGTATCCTGGTGGAGGCTGCATATATATGGTTTCTAAAAGATCTCCATGTAAAAAAGCATTGTTAATATCAAGTTGTTGTAAAAACCAATGTTTTGTAGTAGCAATAGCAAGAAGAAGTCTAACAGTGGTTAATTTTACAACAGGTGAGAAAGTATCAAAATAATCTAATCCTTCTTCTTGAGTATAGCCTTTAGCAACTAACCTAGCTTTATATCTTTCTAAAGTGCCATCAGATTTGAGTTTAGTTTTATAAACCCATTTACAACCAACAGTATGTTGTTGAGGTGGTAGATTAACAAGAGTCCAGGTATTGTTTTGTTCAAGAGCTTGAAGTTCAGTGTTCATGGCAGTCTGCCATTCAGGATATTTAATAGCCTGCTTATAAGTTTTAGGTTCTTTAATAAGAGAAATACTAGCAGTAAAACATTTATAAGATTGATCAAGTCTATTATCACTTATATGATTAGATATAGGATATCTAATGAGATTACAAGATGATTGATGAGTAGGTTTTATAGAATCAGGGAGACTATAATCATAATTATGTAAGTAGGTAGGAATACTTCTTACTCTAGAAGATTTCCTTTGAGGAGAGGTTTCAGGATCAACAATATTCATGTCATCCTGAAAAGAAGAAGTATTAGTAGATTCTGAACTATCATTGATAATATTATAATTAATAGTATTGAATTCCTCACTTATTTGATTATCTATAAAAGAATTAGAGTTTACCTGAGTTGAAGTAGCATATGACTGGTCAGTAGATACAGTATGATTATCAGTAGAAGTATTATCATTATTTGAAGAATTATAAAAGTTATCATAAAAGAAATTTGTATAAGAGTCATTTGAAGATGTAGATTGACCATTGTTTAAAGAATTATAGGATTTTTGTAAAATATCCTTGTATGGAAAAATATTCTCATAAAATTGAACATTTCTAGAAACAAAGATTTTATGTGTGTTTAAGTCATATAATTTGTAACCTTTATAGCCAAAAGGATAACCAATGAAAACACACTTTGATGCTCTAGGATCAAATTTATTTCTATTGGCAGTTAGGGTAGATGCATAAGCTAAACAACCAAACACTTTGAGATGAGAATAATCAGGTATAGTGTTATACAGTAGTTCAAAAGGACTTTTATTATCTAAAATAGCAGTAGGAGTTCTATTTATTATATGAACAGCAGATAAAACACAATCAGACCAAAAAGTAATAGGCAAACAAGACTGAAAAAGAAGAGATCTAGCAATTTGGAGGATATGTTGATGCTTTCTTTCTACTCTACCATTTTGTTGAGGAGTTTCAACACACGAAAGTTGATGAATAATTCCATTGGACTGATAAAAACTGGAAAACATAAATTCAGCACCATTATCGGTTCTTATGATTTTAATTTTCTTATCAAATTGAGTTTGAATAAGTTTGTAGAAGTTCATTATATGAAAACGAGTTTCAGACTTAGTCTTCATCATAAAAGTCCATGTACATCTAGTGTGATCATCAACAATGGTTAAGAAATACTTAAAACCAGAATAGGAAGCAGTACTAAAGGGACCCCAGATATCCATATGAACCAAGTCAAAAGAAGCAATGGCATGAGAAGTACTATCAGTAAAAGAAAGTTTCTTTTGCTTGGAAAAGTGGCAAATATCACAAGGTGTGATGTTATTACAAGATTTATTGTCAAAAGAAATAGGAAAAGAACTCAGTTTATTAAAAGGAGTGTGGCCAAGTCTAAAGTGCCAAATGACAGGATCACTGTGTGGAGCAGTAATGGCAGACTGTGCAGAAGCAGTATGATTAGGAAGATGTAACTGATAGTCCATTTTTTATTTCAGCATAACCAATGATTTTCTGTGTACTTTGGTCCTGTAACACACCATAGTTAGAAGAGAAATTAACAGATAATTGTTCATGTAAAGTAAGACTTGATACAGAGATAAGATTATAATTAAAACTGGGAACATACAAAACATTATGTAAAGTTAGATCATTATTTAATTGAACATCTCCTATGTGAGTAGCAATAGTAATATTACCAGTAGGTAATTGAATGTTAACAGAAATAGATTTTGGCTTAGAAGTATACATACTTAGATTATTAATCATATGATCAGAAGCGCCAGTATCAATGATCCAGTTAGAAGCTGAATATATACCTTTGAAAGCATTGTTATCAGGAGATGAAGATTGTTGAGGACCAGGAGATTGAGACATGGTCATGGCAGCATGAGCAGAACTAGAAAGAGATGATTGATTCTTCATGAACTGAAGAAACAGATTGTAGAGTTCTGGATTGCATAGGTCTAAGTCAGGACTATCAGTTGAAGTAGATGCCAAATGTGCCTGAGATGATTTGTTAGCATTTGTAGATGAAGGTTTGAAGCCAGGGGCAAATCTTTGACCCTTAGGACCTTTCCAATTAGCAGGATAACCAATCAATTGGTAACAACGTTCAGAGGAGTGGCCTTGAAAACCACAATGAGAGCAAATGCCAGTATACTTTTTCTTTGGATTAGATTTGGCAATGAAAGCAAGAGATTCAGTATTGGATGATGTAGCAATGGATTGAGATTGAGTATTAGGAATATGTTGAGAAAGCATTGCTACAGATTCAGTAGGATTATGTAAAGAACGCTGAGATTCTTCTTGAAGAAGAAGAGAATAGACAGTAGACAATTTTGGAATAGGAATTTTTAACAAGATCTGACTTCTCAAGACATTGTAAGATTCATTGAGTCCAATGAGAAATTTATAGACAGAGTCTCTCTGTAAAAGTTCTTGATAAAGTTCATTGAGATTGCAAGTACAATTACCGCATTTACAGACCGGAGGAGTCCTATAATTGCAGTATTCATCCCATAGAGTTTTGAAAAAGTTATAGAAAGCAGTAAGAGATTGAT